TGGCACCACCACCGTTTGCTGGAGGTGCCCTTGGAGCCACTGGCCGCCGCCACTGGTTATCCCTGTGACCATCTAAGTGGTAGGGATACACAGGTGAGTGAGTTGGGGCACCTGGGTGGCTCAGTCAGTTAAGCAGCTGCCTTCGGCTTGGGTCATGATCTCAGGGTCCTGGGATCAAGCCCCATGTTGGGCTCCCTGCTCAGCGAGGAGTCTGCTTGTTCCTTTCCTTCTACCCCTCCTACCCCCACTCATGCTCTCTCTCGCTCTAATAAATAAATAAATAGATTAAAAAACAAAAACAAAAAACAAAGGTGAGACATATTAATTTGTGCCTTTGAGGACCTCAGTCTAAAGAGAGAGAGAGATAAAGAATAAATAACATAAAATATGCCCTCTGGGCTCCAGGGCCCTGACTGCCTTGTTCACAGTTGAATCCTTGTCTGGGCCATACTGCAGGAGAAACATTTGTTGAGTAACTAAGTAGATGGATGAATGCAGAGTACTAAAGGAACACAGAATAGAGGGATTAAGGATGGCTTTGTAGAGGAAATATTGACTGTAATGGATTAGAAAGAGGTAGCCATGCACAGTAGGCTGGAGAAAGTATTCAGGAAGGAGAAAGGGCAAGGTTGGCTCAGGTTTACAGAAACTAATTTTGCCTGGATTTAGAAGGTGGTGGAGAAGGTGGTGAAGGGTGAGGTGAGTCCCAGGATGAAGAACCTCATATGCAGAGTTACTAAGTCAAGATTCTATTCTAAAATCAATGGAAAGAGAGTCATTTTTTTTTTAAAAGATTGTATCATTTATTTGAGAGAGAGAACATGAGCGAGCGTGAGGGAGGAACAGAGAGAGAGGCACCAGCAGACTGCTTGTTGAGTGCAGAGCCTGATGCAGGGCTTGATCCTGGGACCCTGAGATCATGACCTGAGCGAAAACCAAGAATTGGATGCTTAACTGACTAAACCACGCAGGTGCCCCCAATGGAGAGTCACTTTTTTTTAAGTAATCTTTTTTTTTAAGATTTTATTTATTTATTTGATAGGGACACAGAGAGGGAACACAAGCAGGGGGAGTGGGAGAGGGAGAAACGGGCTTCTTGCTGAGTAGGGTGCCCAACATGGGGCTCGATCCCAGGACCCTGGGATCATGACCTGAGCTAAAGGCAGACGCTTAACAACTGAGCCACCCAGGCGCCCCGGAGAGTCATTTTTAAGCAGAGAAGTATCATTATGGTATTTGTCACATAGAAAGATCAATCTGAGAACATAATAGAGGACTGGTTGGTTATAGAGTGGCTAATACTGGAAGTAAGAAAGTCAGAGACTGGTGACTAACTCAGGTAAGGGGACATACAAGTCTGAACTCAGGCAGTAATACTACACAGCAAAGGGGGGAGAGAGGGAATTAAGAGATAGGCATGGATTTGACAGGACTTGAGGACAAATCAAATGTGAGGGTTGAGACAGGAGGATAAGAGGGTAATGACCAGGTTCCTGCCTCAGGCAACTGGGTCAGTGGTGGAACCATTCATCAAGATGGGGAGCATAGAAAAAGGTGTCCACGAATGGGGTGAGGTGGGCTGGAGAAAAATGCATTTACATTTCAAGTTCAAGGTGTTGAGCAACTCATTAGATTAACAGGCAATTGGATGTATGGAACTAGAGCTCAGGAAAACCATTTGGGAAAGAAGTAGATTTGGGGCATTAAGACATAAGTGATAACGGAAGCCACCTTCAATGTGGAGAAGACTGTATTCCTGTGTACTTGGGAAGCACCTGGGGAGAAGTTATTTTAAAATATCATCAAGATAGTACTTAGGAAGGTCAGTTTAGTGGGTAGACAGCAAGGATGGCTGATGATCTTCTCCCAGTGTGGGGAAGGAGCTGATTTCTCATCTCCATTCTTGATGTTTCTATGTAGTCAACTAACTGCTCCAAGATGAATCATTTGGAAGGGAAAGGAAGCAAGATTAGAAGCAGGCTCTAACAGGTTGGTCTTTGCTTATTTCATTTAAAAGTATTAAGTACCAAAAAAACCAAAACAAACACTCTAAAATATACCGACGCCCTAGGCATTTGTATTAGCAGAAGGATAGTTTAGGGCATAATGCTTTGCTAAGAATCTGATTATCCATTATAACACACATACATTAAAAAAAAAATCATATGTGATTTCAGATTTTGACCTAACCCATACACTCCACATACTGAAATGGTAGAATAAATATAAAAAGAACCAAAAATAAATAAAGGCTAGGTGGGCTCAAAAATAAGATGAAATCACTTTGGACCAGAAAAGGAATATAAATATATAATAGTTGTCTGATTCATGCCACTCACCTGCTTTGCTCTGGGTCTAGATATAGGGGATGGTGGCTGTGAGTTTAAATTTTCTATCATAATAGGAACTTAAAGTGTTTCATGTTAAATGTGGGCCAAAATCCAGGCTGAGATCTTAAAACAAGAGTCAAAGGGGGACACTGCCTCTAGACCTCACCCCCTGACCAGGAACTCTCCGGGGCTGCCACTTGGGTTGCTGATGGGATCTGCGTTGTCATCAGCATCCCCTTCAGGAATGCTGGGATGTCCTATTTCTGGACTGAGTTTCAGGGCGGGAGGAACAGGTAGAGTTAATCCAAAATACTGCTAGGCTGAGAGGAGTAAGGATAAAGAGGGAGAGAGAAGAGGGGAGTGAAGGATGAAATTTCCCATTCAGAAGGAACTCAAGACCAAAAATCCAAGATATATGGAGAAAATGAACACTAAGATGATAATCAACAATTAGAACACGAATTTACTTCAAATAAAAAAAACTTCAGTTTTATAGAGAAGCTTGACCAAGTTTTAAAAGTCAGTATATTAAAGATATTCAAAAAATAAAAAGACGGAATACCTGTAAAGAAAGGATCAATTAGGAAATACAAATAGGAAGATATGAAACAAAAAGAGATGGATATAAAGAAATACTTTAAAAATTTAAAACTAAGTTATTTAAATTTAAAAAACCCTAAAATAATAGATGGGCTGAACTTTAGACTAAACACAGAGAACAAATTAGAGAAATGGAATAAAGTACTGATGAATTAACCTAGTATAAACCACAGCGAGTCAAAGAAATAGAAATATAAAACAGTAGGTAGGAGACATAGAGATCAGGAAAGTCTGAGTGACATTAAATAAGGAATTCCAGAAAAGGAGATTAGAGGAAAGGGTGGAGAAGCAACATTTGGAGATATAATAATGGAGAATTTTCCAATTTGCAAAAAGACTTTAGGATTTGTTTGTTTTGTGTTCATTCATTCAATCAGCAAACACTAAATGAGCACTTACTATGTGTTACAGTCTAGACTAGAACAGGGTATACAAAATAAATGTGGCACAATCCTAGCCCTGAGGGTCTCACAGTTACTAGGTGAGATGGACATGATTAATTAAAATTAATGTAAAAAGAGCTATGATAAAGCAGTATATTACAGAACCAGAAGAAGGAAGAACATTTCTGGGAGGACTAAGAAAAGCTTCACGGAGGAGACGACGCCCAAGCTGGGTCTTCTAAGTTGAGAGTTGCCTACAGCATCATTCTCCAGAAAGAGGAAACACATAGACAAAAGGCACAGAGGCATGAAGGAGTATAATGTGTTTGGTAGCTGCTGAGTGGCTCTAGGTTCTAGAGCACATGGAAGGAGAGGCAAGGTCATAAGCTAAAAGGCCTGGCTGGGGAAAGACTTTAATCACCTTTTAAAAATTAAAATCATTGGACATTTATTGAAGGACAAAAAGTAAATGCATAGATTGCAGAGATATAGCAATGTTCACAGATGTGATGAGTCAGGATCATAAGGATGGATTTCCCCTCCCCCAAATAAATTCAGTTAAAGCCAGTTAATGTCCAAGAGATTTTTTTTTTTTTAATGAAATGTGACTGTGTATAAAATTTATATAGAAAAGGGGCTGGAGGGGCGCCTGGGTGGCTCAGTCGGTTAAGCTGCTGCCTTCAACTTGGGTCGTGATCCCGGGGTCCTGGGATCAAGCCCCATGTTGGGCTCCCTGTTTGGCGAGGAGCCTGCTTCTCCCTCTGTCTGCTGTTCCCCCTACTTGTGCTCTCTCTCTCTCTGTCAAATCAATTAATGAAATCTTAAAAACAAACAAACAATGGGGCTGGAAATAGCCAAGATAATTTTGAAAAGGATAGCAGAAATGTACTGTACCAACTACAAATATTAACCTAATAAGTTTTAACAAAACATTGTAGGAGGTATTTCTTCAATGTTGAGAATAATTCACACTGATCATCTTTCCATGCCCAGCAGATGGGAATTTTTGATCACTCTGACATTACTGTACAGGATGACCTGGGGGTGGCAAGACCAGAGTCGAGGTCACATGCTGGTACTTCAGAAAGTTGACTGAGAGATGCTGAGAATGAGAGAGATCTGAGTACAGAAATGCTTAGGAGAGAAAATCAGCAGATCTTGAAGTTGGAGAGCAGGTGGGTTGGGCAGGAGGCAAGGGGAGGATATCGTTAAGGTATTGGTTGGATAGCGGGTCCATTAACAGAAAGAGTGACTATCAGAGGAAACCCAGATTGTGTTTACTCTGGGACATGTTGATTCTAGGGTTCTCTGGGAAAGAGAAGTCGGTCTCAGGAAAGTGAGAACGGAGCTTGGGAGAGCTAGAGACAGACATCTTAAGTAGCTGTTGTAATAATAAAAATAAAACTCCCTAGGCAGATTCCAAGTTCAGCAAGCTGAGGAGGACAGAGCAGGTGGGAAGCACCTCCTGGGGGAGACGATGCCTGTATCTGGGCCTGGAAGGCTGGGAGGGTCTGAAGAGACGGCAGGATAGTGCAGGGCGGCCCAGGGGAGAGGTGCTGATGCTGGAGAGGTTTGGCCGGGTTGGCAAGCGGGAGAAAGCTCTGCAGGTGATGAAAACAGAGGGGCCAGGCACAAAGGAATCCTCATCTTCCCATCTACACAGGCAAAATGACAGATACACCCTCACCTTTGCATTTGTGGCAGGTCGGGTGGCATCTCTCACACGTCCGTGTGCCTTGCTCTGCATAGTAATGCTCTGGGCAGGTGCGATGACACTCTCCCTTGATGCGGAGCAGAAAGAAAAACGAATCGCAAGACAGGCAGTCAGTGGGCCGCGGGCCCTGGCATGCCTTGCAGCTCTTGCTGCACCTCTTGCACCGTCCCGTGGAGATTTCTGCGTAATACCTGAAACCAAGCGGGAAACAAAGACTGAATAAGCTTTGCTCTTAAGTTGGGTGTGGTGGAAAAATCAGGGTGAGTCGCATGGGGTGTTCGGTTCCAGGCTGGGTGACTTAAGACTCTGCTTGTTAACGTTACTCAGTGGATACGTTACTATGGGCACACCTCATATTATACACTCTGCTTTATTGCGCTTCGCAGATACTGCACATTGGGGCAAGTCTTTAGGTGCTGTTTTTCCAATACCACTTGCTCACTTCATGTTTCTGTCACATTTTGGTAATTCTCGCAATATTTCAAACTTTTTCATTATTATAATACTTGTTATGGACATCTGTCATCAGTGATTACTGAAAGCTCAGATGATGGTTAGCATTTTTTGGCAATTAAGTATTTTTTAATTTAGGTATGTAGATTGCTCTTTTAGACATAATGCTATTGCACACTTAATGGGCTACAGTATCGTGTAAGCCTAACTTTTACATATATGCCCCGGGAAACTGAAAACTTTATTTGAACTTGCTCTATTGCAATATTCACTTTATTGCAGTGGTCTGGAAGTGAACTGCGGCATCTCCGAGGTATGCCTGTAATGATACTAATAAATCTAATGACTCAGTTTTCTTATCTTTAAATTGGGTACTACAATATCAATCAGTTTTCTTATCTTTAAATTGGGCACTACAACCCCTCCCCTGCTATTTGTGAATTTTGAATTAGGTAACACGCACAAAAGGACTTAACACATGCAGTAGAACCATAATAATTATTCACTACTTTTGCCTTCTCTATACCCATGTGCTTCTCCACTGGAAGATTCAAGCTTCACGTTTTGTTGACTGGGATCAGGGTATGGAAGATGTTTTTGATGTACCTCTGAGTGATTCTTCTAGTTTCACAATTTTAAAAAACATCTCCTATCTTGAGGGACGTCTGGGGGTGGCTCAGTTGGTTAAGTGTTTGCCTTTGGCTCAGGTCATGATCCCAGGGTCCTGGGATCGAGCCCCACATCGGGCTCAGCTGGGAGTCTGCTTCTCCCTCTGCCTCTGCCCCTCCCCCTGCTTGTGCACGCCATCTCTCTCTCTTTCTCTGACAAATAAATAAATAAAATCTTTTTAAAAAATCTATCTTGAAATAGAAAATGACATAAATGATGCTAATGTTTACATCATAATAGATGTAACCTCTGAAAAAACTTTTGGAGGCTAAATATAACCATAATCACTGTTCATTACCTTTCTACTATGTACCTGGTGGTACACTAGGGACTTCATAGACATTATTTCACCTTCTTGAACCTAAAAGGGAGACACTAGAGCCATGCAGTCTGGAGCTTGCCTTCTGGAACAAACTGCATGGGGTCAAAGCCAAGCAATTCCACTTATGAGCTGTGAAACCTTGGGCAAGTCCCACAACGTCTCTGTCTCAGGTCTGTAATATGCAGCTAATGTTAGTAGCTAAAACTAAACAAGTTATTGTTGAGAAAATTGTTAGAACAGCGCCTGGCACATTATAAATCACACATATTCGTGATAATTATGAATTGTATGATTAAATCTCAAAGCAAACCTCATGATTTAGATATTATCATCCCTATTTTACGTAAGTGAAAATTAAGGCTCAGAGAATTTAGACAATTGGCTTAATGTCAAACAGCTCATGAAGTGGGCTCATGTGATTTGAACCTGTTTACCGCTATAACAAAGCAAGGCAAAGTAAATAAAAAAATTTTTTTTTATAAATAAAAATTTTTACAGTTAGATAGAAGAGAGAAAAGAAATCGTTGACAAAGATGAACTTCTAGACGTCATCTGACCCTTTTTGGCATCTCTGGACCCCGGCACATTGAAGCTGTCCTTGAAACTTGATGGTTTGCCCTTGGCTTCTCCGGCCTGAAACTATTTGCCGCGTGAGGTTCCCTAAAGCTTATTTCAGTTCCACTAAGTCATTGGAAACTAAAACCAGGACAAGGTAGTGCTGAGTCTGCCTCTCCCTCGCCACCCATCCCTGACTTGAGCACTTGTACCTCAGTGGCCCAGCTTGTGGCAAATCAGGCCTTGTTTTACCTTCTGCCATTAGGTGAGGAAAAGTACTGCCGAGTCAATCAGTAAGCCTGGGGGGTGAGAGAGACAGGGTGATGAAGGGAGGGCAAAGAAAGCATCAATCAGGAACTAAACAGCCGATAAAGGCGACAGAAGACTCGAAAGAGAAAGCTATGGGAAAAGGTAGAAACGCACACCTTTCCACACAGAAAATACAGGGGTGTGAAGTCAGAAGATCTGATTTCTCGTCTTGGCCCCACTGTGTATGAGTAGCCTTGTGACGTTGGGCAAGTCACTTAACCTCTTTGAGCCTCAATTTTGTCATCTGTAAGATGGGCAGAATAAGTGGATCTCCGAGGATTGTTGGAGAACCAAATCATAATATAAAAATATATTCTGAGTAGAAATACTTGGTAAACTGCAAAGCAGCATACATGTTCTTTACTAATGTTACTAATGTGATAGGTTGTTTTTAAGATAGATGGCCACGGGGCTCCAGGGTGGCTCAGTCAGTTAAGCATCTGCCTTTGACTCAGGTCATGATCCCAGGGTCCTGGGATTGAGTCCCGCATCGGGCTCCTTCTCAGCGGGGAGCCTGCTTCTCCCTCTGCCTGCCGCTCCCCCTGCTTGGGCTCTTTCTCTCTCTGACAAATAAATAAAAATCTTTAAAAAAAAAAAAAAAACCCTGCTCTGAGGTTAAACACTAAAATAATTATGGGTGTGGGTAAAGGGTTCAGAGGATCATATTCCTGCCTTTCCAAGGCAAGGAGATTTACCATATGAGATTGATGCAATGAGCATGGAACATCAATTTTATAAAAGGAACCATTGCTGTTAAATATTTCCACTTATACCTCATTAATACCCCGTTAAAGAGGTTTATGGCAACCCATGCCTCTCCTCCCCAGTGCGTAACTTCACATACTTCCCAATGGAAAAATTGTCTTCTAATTTTTTTTAAGATTTTATTTATTTATTTGACAGCAAGAGATGGAACACAAGCAGGGGGAGTGGGAGAGGGAGAAGCAGGCTTCCTGCAGAGCAGGGAGCCCGATGCGGCGCTCGATCCCAGGACCCCGGGATCATGACCTGAGCCGAAGGCAGACGCTGTGCTGCCTGCCTGGTTTGGGGACTAAATGAGGGAAACGTGTGTTGGGCACCTTACCCTTCCCGGCACTGCAGCAGGCACTGCTTTTCCAGCTGGAGCAAGCCTGGTTGGCAGGAGAGGCATTGTGTGCTGTGTCTCCCTTCACACGTCCTACAAGAGTTGTGGCAGGGGACACATTGGTGGCTGTCCTCATCAGCATAGTAGCCCTCGGGGCAGTCATGCACGCAGGTCGTGTCTGCCAAGGAAGGAAAAGAGTCTGTCTTGGTATCAAGTATGATGCATGTCTCCCAAACCTCTTCTCTGTGCTCCCTTGAGTGAACCATCGTGGGAGGGGAGGGTGCAGGAGGAATGAGATGGTGTCCTTGTGAGGGTCTTGCTTCTCAGATCTGCGTGGGTTGGGGAGATAGATGCTAACCCTTTCCAGGTCTTCAGCATGTTCGTCTCTTCCTTCCCTCTCTCCTACTCCCCTCCGCTGCTCCTTCTTTTAGCTGAGTGAGCTTTGTCTCATTTTCTTTCTCACATACCTGTATTAGCCTAATCATGGAATCCCTGGAAACCTGAGGGCATGCTTCACATCTGTGATAAGATCTGCTGGAGGTGGCCAACCTCAGACCATGCCAGACTTCAAGAAGATTTATTAATCCCCGGATGCAAAATCCAGGGGAAATTTTGATGAGGGGCTGAATCCCTGCATGTTTGTAAAGTGTCTCTCCACAGACTGCTTATTAATCGCAAGGGAAAACAGTAACTCAGCAGTGGAGACATTGGATAGCACTCTGAACAGATGACCACAGCGTCACCGGTGAGGGGCAGGTGACATCCTGGGTCTCCAGGAGGACACAACATCACCTGTGAAGTATTCTGGCTGAGAATGAATCATCTCTGTCTAATTGTGGGACACCTCACACAGACTCCAGTGGAGGGATAGGGACTGTATCTTCTAAAATGTCAATATTCTATAGAAAAAATGGCTGTGGAAATGTTTCATTTTAACGGGGCTACAGAGACCTGGCAACTGAAAGCAATACCTGATTGGAGACTGGATCCTGTTCCAAGGAGGAATTGCCAAAATTATAAAACAGATGATATAGTGAAGTATTGATGTTAAATTCACTTGCATCAACAACTGTACCATGGCTATGTCAAAAAGTGTCCTTAGTTTTAGGAAATACATACTAAAGTATTTATGCAAAAGGAGTCACGATGTGTATATCACATCCTCAGATGGTCAAGAAAAAGTTTATTGTGGATTATGTAGGCATTACACATTGAGACAGTCAAGAGCGAGCACGTGAATGATTAAGCAAATGGGACACCCAATTAGCGGTGGGTGAAGGGCACGTGTGTGACGTTCTTCATACTTTTGTCTTTTCTGTAGGTTTGAAAATTTTCCAAATACAAAGTGAAAAATTAGACACCAAACATCTGGGCACCATGCGTCATGCAAGGTGGTTTCCCAGATGGAGGGAAAGAGAGAGCCCTCCTCAGAGGACACGTGACTCACTGAAAAGAAGGTTGTCCCTCTGGCAGGTGTGACACTGGTCCTCAGCAGGCCCCGTGCAGCGGAAGCACTTAGCATGGCAGGGCTTGCATCTCAGAGCCTCCACATCCCAGTACTCAAAGGAGGCACATTCCTTGTGAGGCACGCAGTCCCCGTGGTGGTTGACCAGAAGGCCCTCCTGACAGGCCGTGCAAGTCCCAGGTGATGAGCAGGTCTGGCAGGACTTGTGGCAATCTGTGGGCATGGTGGGGGCAGAAGACCAAGTGAGAGAGGCCCAGGTGCCCCTAGAAGTTGTGTTCACATCCCTTTCCCTTTTCTTTCAGAGATTTCTAGGGCTCTGGGTCCAGGGCATGGGGGCCACTAGTTGGGTAGAGCCCTTGGGCTCTGGGTAGAGCATTCTTATCGAATCAGAAGAAAAATGGCCATTTCACATTCTCTGTAATAGCTAGAGAACCCCTTCTTGCCACATCCAGAAATATTAGACTCAGTGTAGTTACCAAAACTGCAACAAAACAATAAGCAGTTCTGTAGGGTATGGTCATACACTGGTCTGTAGCTTGCTTACCCCATAACTCTTACTCTGTGGTGCTCCACTGACCTCCCAGAACAACTCGAGCCTATCACTAACAACAGTTGTTGGGATGTACTGTAATTGCCTGTTGATCAAAAAAAGGCCTCTTTTGTATTCATTGATGAGTGCACAGTACCTGTGAGAGGACCTGGCACGTAACAGGCACTCAGTAACTTTTCTTAGACAAATAAAATCAAAACAATTCATTCCTACCTCGGGGTTTTAGCAATTGCCGTTCCCTCTGCCTAGAGTATATGTGTGGTTCTCCTAGATATATGTGTGGCTTGTTCCCTCTGTTTTTCTATGATGTCTTCAGGATGCCTTCACTCTAATTTCAACTCCATCCTGTCCAGCTTCCTGTTCCCCTGCCCTGACTTACTTTTCCTTTTGACTTACCTTTTTTAGGGTCTGTCTCCCCCCGCCCCGTATTCTGTCTGTATTGTCCCCTGCTTTTCCCTAGGCCTAGAGGAGCACACAGCACATAGGAGGCCCCCAGGAAGTGCTCCCTGAATGAACAGACACATGGCATTCTGGTCATCTCATGTTATCTAGATCAGGAAATTGAGGCTGAAGGTGCTAAGTCACTGGGCTGGAAATGGGCAGGGTTAGACGTTGAGCCCAGGAGCTTAGTCAGAGTTCTTGCTGTTTCTGCCCCTGTGCCTGGGGGTAGGGGTGGGATTCTTAGAGGTGCCTATGCTCTCTCATAGAGGATAATTTGGATGATCCAAATGGATCCCAAGCCCTTGTGTTTCTTGGAAGAGATCCTGTTTGGTTCTGGATGCTTCTCTACATCTACTCAAATCTTAATTTTTCAGGTCAGGTCCTTTGTTTCTTCTTGCTGGAAAGTCCGGTGGCCACCCTGTTTCTTCCAGTACCAGCTTCCCTCAGCCTGCCTTTGGACTGGTGGAAGGAGCCATCACCTTGTAGGGAAAGCCCTCAAGTTAGTTCCCTACGGTTGAGTTGGTCTGAGGGGAGCCCAGGCATCTGTACAGTGGTATTTTTTTTTTTTTAACTCTCCAGGTGATTCTAATGGGCAACCAGGGATGGGATCCAGGGGCCTTTCTCAATGAGAAAATTAAGTCAAGTAAATGTACTGTGAGGCCTGCAAAGTTCTCTGTATGGCAAATTACCTTTATTATTGAACACCAGAGAAAGGCAGAAATTGACCCTTAGTTCCTATCTGAGTACAGGCATGACGGCCTTTGGCCAAGTTGCTAAACTTCTCAAGGAAACTGGCCCCAAGCTCACTGCCTCCATGTCTTCTGCCATGTGCTAGTCCATGGTCTTTCAGGTGGGACATTGACAGTAAAGGGTGCCTTACATAAAACACAACAAGGTGCGTTGATCATAGTGCTAGAACAGCAAGCTGTGAGGAGTCAGCTCCATCTTCATGTCCTAGGACATGAAAATTGGTCTCCTGAGTATGTTCTGGAACGTGGAGGGGGGGGTGGGGCCTGGGGTTTCTCACCCTCAAGCTCTCGCTGCTATTGGGACCACCTCTGCATAGTCTAGTGCTTGCTAGGTGGCGACATGGGGCAAAGTTACCACTGGCCGCCTAGCTGGAGTGAAGCCTGAAACTCTGGAGAAGTTCACCCAGAGTGATTCAATGGTTTGAGAATTCTCATAATAGACCTGTTATTTTTCCTGTTCTGAGGCCAACAGTTGATACTAGGGAAAACATAAGGAGGCATAAATGAGAGCAGATCCCTCCTTGAATGGGTCGGGGTTGATGTGCTGAGCGGGGGTCCCAGGGCAGGAGCCGCTGAAGCAGATGAGGAGCCACGGGGTTGGGGTGGGGGGGGACCACAGGGAGAAAACTGATAAGGGACCCGAGGGGCACCAAGAAAATCCTCTGTGGCACAATTTTCCCTGAGCTGCTGTCAACCTTTAGTGGCTTCAAGGTTTAAGGAAAAAAACAAAACAAAACAAAAAAACTTCCATTTTGGGTGACTTTTGAAGGCTTATCTCTGCTGTGAAACTTCACTTGAGAATTCTTTTTGATCAGCAGTTCAGAGCCCGTGTTGTGAGGAGGGTCAATCTGATTTGTTATTAAGAAAAATTACATGGTCAAAGCTTATGAATGATTCATTTAAAAAATAATAAATTAGAGCAGATTCAAAAATCTGCTTTGTTGAGCAGGAGGGAAACGGATGGGATGACAGCTCCGGGGCTGGAACTCTGCAAACCCCAGCACCTGCTTTGTCTCAGCAGAAACCCATCATTGTGGCAGGCTCCCTGGGATGCCTGGCCATACACATGCAAGTCTTTACCTCTGCAATCCTTAGTCTCTTTTTCATAGTAAGTTCCCACTGGACATTCATCCAAACACCGTCCGTCATAGAGAACCAGGGATGGCTCCGCACAGAGGTCACAGTCATCCGCCGAGGGGCCACTACACTCCAGGCAGTCTTCGTGGCAGGGGACACACTCTCGTATGTCCGCGTAGAAGCCGCGGGGACAGGATGGATGACACATATCCTGGTACAGGAAGGACTTAGGCATACACTCTGGGGGAAGGAGGAAGCAACAAGTTACCCCCTCGGGCACAGGAGAAAGGAATTCGTTCCTTCTGGAGTGGGCTAGCCTGTCCGGACCACACTGGCTCCTTTGACCTGAGTGTTCCATGCATATGCCCCATGCCAAGCCTGCCAGGGCACATCTGCCACATCTCTAAGCTTGGGGAGAGAAGACCGCATACGGTGGCCTGATGACATGGTGCTGGGTTTACAGCCCAAAATGACCTGCTCCTCAAAGGTGTAAAAAATTGCAGTGCTGTGGCAGACCATCTATGGCTGAGATGCTGGAGGTATTGTTGAAAACCCGAAAAGCATGCTCTATTCAGCCCAAAAGTGGCTTAAACATTCTTGAGTTAGTTATGTTTTCATTCACTGATAGGGTGGATCAGTGACATGGACATGGTAACTCAGTGTGAGGCATGCGTTGTGGGTTTCTTTCATCTGTATTCATCCTCTTATTTGGGGGGGAAACCAAGAAAATGCTTTGGGTCACACCAAGAGAATCCTTTTGATAGAACAGCATCAGTTCAATGGGTCTTGCTCTGGAGAGGAAATTAGCCCTTCTTGGAGATAATTCCAGAGAAAGCATTCCTAGCCAGAGTGCTATTCTGAGTCTTACTGTCTTCACCTGACCTCTTTCCTATCTTTTGTAACAGTTGGAATTCTCTAGCTTCCTCTGTGTTTCATTAATATCAGCCTCCCTATAAGATTTTGTGCACGAAGAGGCAGGAACTTCGGGTTCTTATCTAGATCTCTGGCAGCTGTGGTATGGTGCTTGGCGCATCCCTAAGTGCTCAGTACACCTGTGCAGAAGAAATCATGCAGAAGAGGGACTTTCATTTGTCTTCGCTTGAAGAACGCCCTTGATTTTCTCAGTGATGTGCATGGAGGTGGTTATATTTCAGGAAAGATGAGACTGGTTCCCTCCATTCTGCATAGCTCCCCCCCGCCCCGCCATAGTTGGTCCCCAGGGGCGGTGGCTTGGGGGAGCCACACTCTCCCCTGGGATGCTCCCACGTACCTTTGCATGTCTTCTCATGGATGCAGTCCTGACACCTCTCAGGGCAATGCTTGCACACCCCCTCCACGGCCACGTGCCTCTCGGGGCAGGCTTCCCGGCATGCTCCCTCGTGCAGGATGAGGCTTCCTTGGCAAGAGAGGCAGTTGGTGGCGTTTCCTTCGCATGTTCTGCAAGGAGAGCTACAGTGCTCACACATGCGGTCTTCTGCATAGAAGCCCCTGTGGGGAAAACAGAGCACAACTGGAAACGCTTTCCAGCCGGGGAAATGAGTCCTGCCTGGTGGCAGAGGGTTTGGGACTGAAAGATGCCAGAAGGATGGCAGCTATTGTGGGGCAGAACGAGGCAGTCAGATTTGCCGAGGAAGGAGGGGTCAGAAGCCAAATCCGGGAAGAGAAAAAGGAAAGGGACAGGTGTTATCCTTGTGAATTTGTTTGGTTTGAAAACCACTTTTGTTAATGTGTATATAGTTTAGCCACCTTCTGGTTTCCCTATTTTATCTCCCAATTTTTATTCTTTCTTCTTCTTTTTTTAATTAGAGCCTTATGTTAGAGTAGAAAATGCTTTTTATCCAATACATTTTTAATGAAAGATTTTAATTTAATAAATTACTGAATTTAGTCCTTAATATAAAATGTTCGTTCATAATTAAGTTAAAAAGTTATTTTTACAAAGCTCTAAAGGTTTAATGCCCTATAAAATTGGAACCACTTTTGTTTTTGGATGCTCTCAGCCAACCTCTGGTGGCTTTTTTCAAACATGCACATATAATGTTTGCACACAGCATCAAACATATTTGCAGTAGCTGCTCGTGGAGGATATGTTTATATGACTGACTTTCTTCCAGGTGGAATCTGGTGTCTGTACATATATATTGTACCTCTCAATGATTACATTATCATGCCAGAGAAATCTCTTACTGACTGATGAACACAGTAACTACGAAAATGTCAACCTTTTCAAATAGATTTGGAAGATGGGGGAAATTTCGACAGTTTCTTTGAAGAAAAAAGCTGGCGGGAAGAACTGGAACGTGCAGAAGCAGGAAAATCATAAACCATTGTAGAGAATATGGACTTCCGATGTCCTAGGTATCTATTCCAGTTGTTTTCTATAATTTTCATTCTATTTGTCAGCTGTTGCCATAATAGTGCTGTGTGGCAGGACACGCCCAAACTCATCACCCATGTATCTGCGGGAAGGCAGATCTAGGCTGAGCTTGCGCTCAAAGACGCCTTTGTCATTGTAGGGGCAGAGGTCATGCATGTACTCCGGGAGAAGGAGGCTGGGTGCCGAGATACACACTGGATTCAGGTCTTCTTCGCGTCCCTTTGTCTTCCCTGGCACAGGGACCTCCTGGGGCACATTCTTCTCTTAGCCATGACAGAGCACAAGAGGGCAAGTTCATCCAGACAAATAGGTAGTAAGCCTCTCTGCTTCCCTTCCGCTAACATCCTGTTGGCCAAAGCAAATCAACCCGGCCCCCAAGTCAAGGGTCAGGGAAGTCCATTTTGTGTCTGTGGAAGTTGCTGCAAAGTGACAAGCAGGGGGCACAGGTACATGGAGAGGTGAAGAATTGTAGCAAATAACTCAGTCTGCTAGAGTCCTTTTTGAATCAATGCCAATAAGGGATCCTATACAGCATCTTTACTTGGTGTTTTAATTAACTCATTCACATCTGTTTCATCATTCTTTCAGCCATTCTTATATTTATTCAGGAAACAAAAATGTATTGACTGTATCAGGAAGAAATGGGACGGGGTGAATAAAGGTTACATATCTAATGTAGTTTTACGGAAGAACATTTGGAGAACCAAATCGTACCCAGATGAAAGCTAAGACCAGGCTCCCTTATACAGTAGTATCTTAGCTTTTTTGGACCAAATGGAGAAACTTCAGTTGATTATAACTTAGCTTCTGATGTCAATTCTTACACCTAGTAGGTGCTAACTATTTATCTGCGGAACTGAATTGAATATGCTTGGCTTCTCCACTGGGCTGGAAGTTTCCTGAGTACCCTGACTTATGTTTTTACCCTGTAGGATCTATTTCACCAGTGGATACAGATACTAATGATCTACCTCTATCATGGATCTTGTAGCTCAACCATCTAGTTCTTTTAATCAGTGGGAAATTTCTAATTGCTTCAAACAGATTCTGTTGGTCACTTCCCCAAACTCCTTCCTCACCTCCCTCTTTCCAGTCTTCCTGCCTGACAGTGTTCTGATTTTATTTGGGTGTGCAGGGGGGAATTTTGTGTAGCCTAAACCGATCCTTCTATTTCCATCCTTCTTGCCAGAGATCATTTTTGGAAGACGGAAGTGAAGCATTCTGGCTAATGAGATGAGAAGGGAAGTCAGAGGAAGTTTAATTTCCTTTTAAAAAGAGACGGAGGAGGAGAAACGTGCCCTTTTCTGTCTCTGGTTGTTGTCGTGTAGGGTGGTGAGGTTTGGAGACAATGTGGCTCAGGGGCTCAGGGGAGGACAAGCTGAAGAAGATTCAAGGACAAAACAGAAAGATTGTGGGTCTTTAATGAAGTGTTGGCTGCTGATGTAACCAATGCTGGATTTTAACCTTTTTGTTCTGTGAGATGATAAACCCCACATTGTCTCAGTCATTCTACTTAGAATTTCTGTTTCTTGTCCCTGAAGGTTCCCAGATACACTTTTCCATGTGCTGTTTCCACTTCCTTTTTACATCCTGGAGCTGGACCCATTGATGGGAAGAGAAAAGGAATTACAAACCAGAGGACTGGGGACACCAGGAGGAATCAATCAATAATTCACCAGGTATGATTCCATATTTATTATTTATACCTCACACCTCACCTACTGTAAACATTTAAGAAGAGATTCATGTATTCACAGCCTTAACTTTTGTCATGGAAGGAAGACAACTCCTTGATCATAACCACAAGGTGGAAAAAGAGCGTATTTTCACAAAGGTCAAAAACACGTACATATCACAGTCACAAGGGACTGGTTTGGCTGCCTTGGCCAACAGCGATTGCATGTCGAGGGGACACTTCCATAGGCTCTGTAACCAGGACGGGGAGGCGTCCTTTGGTGCAAGAAGGAAGTGCCCTCCAAGTACAGCAGGAGAATGGACCCGAGCGGGACGTGGAAGGAAGAGGGACACTTACTCAGGGCACCTGGTGTAGCACCTGCCTTCGTGGAGGAAGAGAGGGAAGTCCGGCCCCGTCCGGCACGTTCTGCAGAGATCGGCTCCAGAGCAGGAGGTACAGTCCTCCATACAGTTCTCACAGTGGCCACTCCTTGCCGAGGGCCATGTGCCTTCAGGACAGGAGGAGACACAGGCCTGGGCCAGCAGATACGTGCCTAGAAACCCAGGGAAGAAGGCAGAGCAGGTGATCATCACATGTCTGGTCCAATGGCACAGGGGTCCACGCAGAGGACAGATGCCCCCGGCAGCTTTTTTGAACCTCTGCAAAGTCCCCAGTATGTGGAACGCTGCTTTCCAGCAAACCAAAGTATTTATTAGTGAGGCTCAGTCTTCCACATTGAGTTAAATCTCCAGAAAGAAAATTGACAACAGAGGC